CCAGGCCCATAAAATGTTGCTGAAAAGACGGGAGAGTAAGACTCTCTAGAAATTATCACTAGGGATACGCTGAGACTGCTATATATTGTAAATCTTACCTAAAAGTATCTCCTACTCTATCTTTGAAATAAAAATATCCGAGCCGGTCCCAGTACAGTATATCACCTAAAAATCTATTTTGAAAAGCTATACTAGCTGCTGCCTGAGATTACCTGACAAGAAGACTGGATCAGATCCTGGTAATGGTTCTTCAATGACCTTTTTCTGGGTCTCTGCTTCGTCGACATAGCCCTCGAAATGGTAGAGTGGGTTATTTTTACGGATTGTGCATGCAAGTAGACCGGATTCGCCTTAACAAACTTCTTTCAAAATGTGACCATAGTGATCTAGTCAGATCGAGCTACATACCTGGCCGAATAGGTATACAGTATCCACGATCGTCTCTGATCAGCTCGCCTGTTGCTTCGTCGACTTTGAAAAGTCGTATAGGGTATATTGGAGCAGCGATACTAATTATCGTCATAAATCCGCAAGAACCTTCCTTTCCATCAATGTTAACTTCAAAAAACTGATAAATTTACATTGGTGTAAGTTTTTCGAAGATTTACTGAGATTAGAAGTTCCTTCGGTTGAACCATAAAACTCGGCTATTCGCTCAACTTTGAATCGTTCTTGAAATTGCCTCCATATAGCTGGTCTAGAATGATTGACGCATTGAACGCTTTTTGTCGAATGAGAAATTGCTCTTTGATCACCTCAACCCATTTCCTATTAACAATCGGACACAGTGGTTTTCTTCATATGATGATTTCTCAGTCAGAAGTAAGTATCGAAGAAGTTCTCCGATGTATTGCGATACCTGAATAGTTTTCTAGCGATGGTCTCTGTCATCACGAAGCCGATTCTACTACAAGGGCGTTTGAAAGAATGCTTGATTTACAGCAAGGTTTTTCAAGCAGCAAGCTAATGGTGAAACTCACTGTGCATTTGTTTATCACACAATCCTTCCAGAAATTGCGCGCAGAAAATTTGTCTCTTATAACACACGTTGCTCCATGTATCACCGTTTGTCCAACTCCTGTAGATAAGATGGGATTTCATTCTCGTAAAAATCAAGTCCTAGCTAGTATTTGAGTTTTTGAGTATGTTAATATCTTACGATTACAATTATTCTAGGCATCAAAAACTAACCGAGTACTCCTGCTGATGTATGATAGAGCGGAAGGCAAACATAAATTCTGTCAGTTTTGGGCCGTACTCCGAATGCTACCTCACCACTTGTAGCTATATAGAAGAACCTGCAAATGTTACTACACACATTTTGCCTAAAAATGAAGAGGGATTTTAACCTGAAGTGCTTAATAATTGCTGGTTTTGGCATCCCCGTTGTACCAGATGTGAATATGTAGCACAGTGGATCTGAAGCAGTTCTGTGTACAAGGTAGATGTTTTAAGTAGAGTTACCTTGGAAGGTCATCTCCCGCGTTGCTACAGGCTGTGAAGTTGGCTGTGTTCTCAAGAGATCGTCAGTGCATTTAACGTATGGTTTTAGTGCAGTTCCTCCGCTAAAAATCAGCGGTCGTTCCTGCATTGCCCCTTCGTTTTCTACGGTTTCGACTATTTCTGAATATCTCATTTTATAAAATGATTCTAAGATCATGTAGCGGGTCCCACTTTGTTGATGAGCCGTTGAGCAGACTATAATGGATGCTTTTGAGATCTTCAGTGAGTGCGTCAGAGATTCTCCTTGGAGATTTGTATTAATCCAAGCAGATATGGCGCCTATCTATGAGTATTATTCAAACCGGTGGCCATATTCATCAACGAACCCAGTGGGTGCGAGTTTCATGGGTACGAACACATTGGGTAAGTTGATCTTCACAATTGCTGCGCTGGTAGGGCTCGGCATGAGGTCTTTTCAAGGCTTTTTGAAAGAGAAGCCCCTTTGACTTTCGCGAAATTTACGGCCCCCTTTGACTCTCAGCCCTAAGCCGTAAAAAGCCTAAAAAACGAAATGTTGACATAAAAAAGGTCGCAACTTTTGGCCACAATAACGATATCCCCTTGCTTTTTCGCCCCAAAAACTCCACCCTACTTCCATACGATCTGTGCCGGACCCTGTGCGTTTTACTGCGCTGGTAAACTAATTTTTGAGATCTGGGTTCAGCCTATCCATTGGGTCCTTTCGGAATACACTGGGTTCTTTGATGAATACGATCAAAGAGTATGTTGCATTTAGTCGAACTCTACCAAAGGCTCAAGCATTTACCTTTGCGCACCCGAGCCAGGCTGCCACAAAATGTGCCCCATTGTCCATGCATATAGCAACAACATCACCAGCTTGTACGGACGAATTATTCTAAAACTACAACTTGTCACAAATCTACGTCATAAGAAATTATCTCAAGCCACAGCTCACCTGTAGCATATGACCGTACTGACAAGCGAGTTCGTCCAGCTCCTTGAAGGTAAATGACTTTCCGAAAGTCATATCATAAATAGCTTCCTGATAGAAAAATACTAGCCATGAGTGCGAACTTAACCTACTTTGACTCACCTTATCGGAATTTTTTCGTACAGTGTCTAAAAACAAGGACTGTATACCTCGATTTCTCCAGAAAGCACGAGAACAACGTAGACGCATTTTGACTAGAATCATAAGTCCTCTGAAAGTTTGCGCTGTCGTAAATGTAGAACAGATGGATAGCCTCACCTCACCTAATATCTCTATGGGTTGTTTCTGACAATCGTTTGAAATATCCTGATTTTCTTGGAAGTATTAGGAATACAATGACTAACGAAGTGAGAGCCAATATGATGAGAACTGCTACAACAATAAGCAACCATGGTGCCATGCCTGTAATTGTTGCAAATGTATTGATTGAAAGATACAGAGGTAATATGATTGAAGGTGCATATGCGAATTCTTCACAATAACTGGTATCATGTGCGATGTTCAGAACTTGTTGCGCAAATTATGAGGGTCATTGTCTTGGTAGCCATCGATATCGTTGCATAAAATGATTTGAACAAGTCGATTTGAATTGGGTAGAATAATCGAGACATACAACAAACATCAGTCATCGTAAATGTGCATGTCTTCTTTGACGCTATGGAAATTTAGAATAATTGCCGGAACATTGAAACAGTACAACAGGTTCTCGTTAAAACATACAAATTTAAGAATTGTAAAAAACCATTACCAA